CCCGCGGGTCCCTCTCCCGCCCGGGGCGGGCGGTGCGTGCAGGCCCGGTTCCTGCTGGCAGGCAGCGCCGCCTCTGCGGGCTCGCCCTGCCCGCACGAAGCCGCTTTGCATAAATGAATGTTAAAAGCAATTACGTTGGGAGCTTCGCCTAAACGTATCAATTAGAAGTTGGCACCTTCGCCGTGCCTGAGCCCCTGAGCCGGTTCCAGCGAGCGCCGCGGTCGTGTGAAATACGGCTGCCGTCCAGACCGACTTCTGCCAACTCTGCGAGGATCTCTTTACAGTTTATAGAAAACAGCGTTCGTACTAAAAATGCCCCCTTCCCCAGTGAAGCTGCATTTCACAGATCTTTCTTTGCAACTCGCCTGTTTTGAATAAAGGATATAGCCCTCTTAAAGGTCAGGCTATGCCATTGATTTACCACTGATGACAAGATACGGCCCTCACTAGCTAAGATATGGGAGAAAAGACATGTATTTGGAAACACCGAAGAATCTTTTGAAAGTAATAAACCCTAAATCGTTGGTGTGCCGGAGCTGCAGCAGTTCGTTGGCATTTTTTTTTCCTGTCACCCGCATCTTGTACATTTCGGTAAAACGTTTGGAAAAACCGGCAGCCGTGTGCTTAGCACCAGGGTAGGTGCAGCTTGCTGCAGGACCCACCTATTATCGTTAGCAACACTTAACCCATAAATACCTCCTACCGATCAGCGGAATTTTATTTTAACTGGAGTCATTTAGATAAATCCCCTTCTTGATATTTCCATGTTGTTTGCAGCGGAAGGATGAATTCAGCCCGGTAGCACTGCCTTCGCTGCAGCCAGCAAAGCCTCACAGGGGACAGAAATTTTAAAATCTGCATTAGTCTGTGCTTGGATTGCCTCGCTACCAGGCAGACATCAAGAGCTTCCAGGAATCAACAACAACAAGAGAAAATTGATCATGTCAGTGTAAAGCAGCAATGGCTGGAAAGGCACTAACAATTTAGGAGCTAAAATTCGCCGAACTGATACTTCAGGAGAAAGGACAAGCGTTTCTGGTCCCATAAAGCAGGTCTTGCTGTCCTTAGAAAGTCACAGATGCGTTTTATAGAGGCGATTATTGCTGACCACGAGGTTTGTTAACGCTCCTTCCAGCGGTCGCACGTTGGTGTGCGAACGTGCACCATCAAACCTGTTAAAATGGATGCGGTACGTGAGCATCCACGCCGTGTTCCTGAGGTACGTCTGCGGGAGGAGGCTCTTTCAGATGCACACCATGGGCTCAGTAATGTAAAGCGACGTTTAGGCAGTGCTTGATAAACTCATTTCGTGGAAGTGGAAAGCTCGTGCATGGAAAGCGCCTCGTCCCATCTGCTCGCTGACTAATTACAATTACGGTTGTGGAAAACGGGAAACCTGATACATTTTGGGGAGAAGACAGGGAATCGAAGCTCTCTCTGTATGAAGCGCGGTTTTTTTTTTAGAGGTCAGTGAGGCTTTCAGTTCTCAGCCCTGAAAAAAAGCTTCCCATAGCTGTGTGATGCACCCCGATAAACCGCCCGATTCTGACGTTAATCCATGTATCTATATGCGGTTTAGCATAAACGCTGTTCTAAGGATAATAAGGGGCTGCACCATCTGATACTTTTAGGGAGAGGACTTGACGCGTTCAGCGTGACCTCCAACAAACACCGAGGGCAACCGCAGCGTTAGTATTTCTAACCGGCACTCCGACCGATTGCTAACGCAGCTGGGGAAGAGTCGCCCTCGAAACGCCCGAGCGAGCCCGGGACGGGAGGACGGCCAGCGGAGGACGACCCGGCATTTCTGCGCCCGCCGCCACCACCGCCTGCACAAGCCCCAACAACCCGCAACGCGCCGCGGCTCTTTGTTCCCGCGGCGGCCGGACGGGGACGCGGGGCTGAGGGCAGCCCGCTGCCTCAGGCCGGGCAGCCGCCGGTGCAGCTGCAGGCAGAGGGCACGGCTCTGCCGCCGTTCCCCGC